CTGCCTGTTTAGTTCAACAGTACAAAGTGCAGCAAGAACAGAGGCTGTCCTATCTCTCCCCACCAATCAAAAAAGGACTGGACAGCCCACTAGGCACATCTGCCAACAGTCTTGCCACCCACCTGAGTGCAGGCTGTCCCCCTCCTAGCTTTGTAGTGTACTTATGAACAGCTCATGATGCTTAGCACCTTCCTCAATTTCGTTTCTTTATTTTCTTCTTTTTCCTTGTCATATCTCTACACACAGCTCATGGAATTTGAATACCTCACCCACTCCATTATTGCATGGCTATCTTGGACAGCCTAAACCTAGCTTATCCTAAACTAGTGCCCTTGTTTTCATGTACTGATTCTGAACCACAAAGCATGCAGACTGATACCCATGACTGGGAACAAGGAGAGACTCTGGGGTGAAATATGTAGTGTGATTAGAGTAGTTGCATTGAGAAAAATTCCACCAGGAACAGTTTTCCCTGTACAGGATAGAAGTCAACATCTACTCCCAAACTTTCGCAAAGTGGCTTCTGTGAGGCTACTGTTTGGCTGAGAAGACAAGTCTACACCAGTACAATCAATTTTGGACTCCAGTTGAATGACTTCTATTGAGAAGCTTTAAGAGAACTGGTCTATCTTAGACCAGTGTAGGTTACCAAGGGGAGCTACAGCTGAGCATAACTGCCTAGGTTCAATCCTTGCATTTCAAGCAGGTACTCTATTTCTGACAGTGGTCATTTATCTCTACTTTGGTGAGTCCTTGCTGAAAAAGGGTCTACAAGACACTGAGGTTAGCAACTTGAGGGGATGGCCTCTATTTACTCACACCTATAACCCTTTGCACTATTGGGCAGATGGATTTCTTGTAGAGTATCCTCAAAAGGTGTGCATTTAGTTTTTTTTTGGGGTTATTGTGATGAAAGGTGAGAAAAACAAAACTTGGTTGAGCAGACAAGAGGGTTTATATATGCTAGAGTCTGCCTTCTCCCTCAATATTAAGCTAAAGTACTACTTACTTGTGGTTGTACCCCATTGTTACTAGGTATCACTGCCAAGATATTTGTATCGGATGGGCCTATCCGATGTTCTATCACCCTGAGATATGCGATGCAGTGTCAGTAGGATTAGGTGCGATGGAATTACACTGCAATATGGTGTCAGAGCATTAGATACCGATAGTAATTCCATCGCACCTAATCCTACTGACACTGCATCGCATATCTTGGGGTGATAGAACATCGGATAGGCCCATCCGATACAAATATCTTGGCAGTGTAGGTATCTATTTCAACTGGCAGTTATACTAATTACTAGTATACTCATATTGCAAGTCTTGATTGCAGACCTTGTTAGGGGCATCTCTATCTTATGAATCTCAATACTAAGCCTGAGGTGTCCTCAACACAATGGCATGCCTTGTTTGTTACACTTGTTTCATATATGGAATTCATATGTTACACTTATAATTACATATGTAATCTATATTTTACACTTGTACATACACATATAGCACTCTAGTTCTATATGTAATTAGATGGTTGATAGCCAGTGGGACTGGTGAGATGGTCTCAGGGCTGACACACATTTATTTTCAGCACAGAAGTCTCAAACTATCAAGCATAGTAAGATTTCTATCTCTCTCACAATTTCTCTCCTTCTCCTCTATCTGTGTCCTACCCTTCATCCCAATAGGAGGCCCACAAATTATCCCACAGGTTAGAGGGAGGTGTTGGTAGATGCTTTATTGCAGCATACCAACCTCAGCTACTACCCCACCTGTGGTCTCTTTTCCAAGAGGCAAGGGACCACACAGGACCTCACACAGGGCTGAAAGCTCTCAGGGCCACAGCCTTGGACCAGGGAGTGTACAAGTGCCCCATTCACCAGCACACCCTCATGGCACTCAAGATGCAAGGTGGAAAAGACTTTATAGAAATTTACTTGGTATTGCACATCAAAAAAATAGTCACAATTCTGTCTTGTTATATTCTTATCCTCTACATGACTGCAGACGAGCTTTCGGGTCAGCTGTCATACTTATTCAGGTATAGTGAAAAGTGCCAAAAAAAGCATTGGTTCCTCATGTATGCAAACTTTTTACAGCTTGCACACAAAATCGCTTCCAACAAGAACCAAAAAAAATAGATACCAAGGATGGCCGCGAACTGTAAGTCAGTCATTAAGAGGGAGATTTCATTCAAAATACATCTTTCAAATTGAATAGATTCAGAACAACAAATGCACAAGTCAAAAAATTATCGATTTGGTTTTCTAGCTTGTTGAAGCCATAAGAAGAGTAAGTGTTCTTGGTACCCTATTAATTGAGATTATAGAAAAGATGTGAACAGATATCATCCAAGAAAGTATAACTGTAGGTGACTAGGGTGAAAGAGACAGTGGCTTTCTGGGTGCAACTGGATAGCTTATCGAAATTTCAGGACAGTGTGGTGTTCCTGGTGTGCGTGTGATGAGATATAGAAGGAACAAGGACCTAGAAAAGAAATTTTTTGGTTAGGACCACAAGATGATCTTGACAATTGCGCTGCGTCATACAACTTCTTACTTACAGGTTTCCAAGCAGCGCATATGGGAGATCTAGCCCCTGATAAAGGTGAGCAGGGTCATTTATTAGCCAATATTCAGATCTTGGCAATTGAAAATCATAGTCCTGATGTTACCTACCACCTCAAGAGTGGTCCACCATCGGGGATCCGTGTAGAACATATCACCCCGGAAAGTTAACTGAAGAACGGCGATCTGGAAGTCAGAAACAGAAAGAATCTTCAAGAGGTTTGTATTTGATCATAGATCTACTCACTGCATACACGATGGGAGGCACGTGGGTCAGGCTTATTGCGTAGGCTAGTAGGGTGTGTTGAGCCACGACTCTTTGTTTTTTTTGGAGGATGCGACTTGAAGGTCTCTCCCCTCCAGAATCCGCAAAAACTAGCTGGCTCCTTGCACACTGATTCATTGTCTTCCGATGTGAAATTACAAGGAAAGGGAGCCATGTCTGATAGATCCACACAAAGTGAGTTTAATGAATGTAGACAAGTTTGAATTCACAGGGACTTACCACAATCAAGCTTATCAGACAGACGAGGTAAATGGTGAGTCCGAGACGAATATAACGACTGATAGCAATCTACCGACGCGAGATGTTTTTTTTATGGTCATGAAATAGAGATGATAAAGTGTTTTTGGTCAGTTGTTTGCGGGGCGCCACAGGTTTAGAGACTAGTGAATAAGAGGTGTGACAGACGAAACCAGGGGTTGACTTGGTCAATTGAGTGACCATGATCAGCAAGTCAGGTCGACTGTAGGTGAATGGCGTATAAGAGGAAGCCAAATGCAACAAGTCTCTAATCACGGGTTTTATATGATTAGTGAGCGTGATGTACTCCGAATTTATTGTGATCCAGGTCCAAACTATTGGAACTGGGAACGAATGGGTGATAAGTACGATGAAAGCTTCCTCCTGTCCTCACGCTCGCAAACTGACCAACGGGCCACAAAACGAGAGTCAAAATCACTACATTCGCTATGCACGCCAGAATCCGAGTCTTCATTGTCCTGGCATAGATATGCCGGTCCTCTGCGTTTCCCCATTTGTCGAGCGCCCAATGGCACACGCACACCCAGCAAATTGCTGAGATAGGCCAGTTTGCATCATTCATGGCGTTAGCAAAAGCTTTTCGACAATTTGATATCTCGTAATAACCGTACGATGTAAAACTTACTCCTAGAGGCAAGCAACTAAATCAGCTATTGGCTAACAAGCGAGCTGGGAGCGGAACCCCTTACCATGCACCAGCAAGAATTGCTAGAAATTTAGTACCGAACAGGATAATCTGCGAAGACTGGTCATGAAATCCCGCCCACACGAGCTCCCTAAAAATTCTATCAGCCAGAGTTACTGGTGGATGTATACCAAATTTGAAACTCGATCAACACCAGCCCAGTAATTACGAAATGTAAGGAACGTAACTAATTCTTGACTTACGTGTGCTATAAAGCAAGTACCAAAAAACAGTAACATTAATGATTTCAATCTTGATCAAGCCGACTGATGAAAGATGAAAAAAGCACAAATATCCTCAGTCACTGAGGCTTAAATGCTATCTAAGTGAAGATCTCGACGTGGTGATAGTAGGCAAGAGCTAAACATCTTGGACTTACGCGCATTAAATTCGAAGAAACAAAATCGGTTGGCCTTTATTCGCAAGTAGATGATATGAACAGATTGCAGAATTATACTTCACAATTCAGGGACCAAAGCAAAATACAGTATGTACAACAGATCCGTTTGAGCTTGTTGCTTCTTCAATGTGTTGAAGGTCTTCCACTTCAGCAATTTTACCGGGGACTCACATAGCGAACCCAAAGGTCATACACCGCACCAACCATAGATTCCATCGAGCCACTTTTGGAGGCTGCGTAAGAAACGTGAAATCAAGTCGCATTAAGTTTTTCAGCGACAAATACCCAAGAGCCGAGGAAAGTCTTTCAAGCAGACATCAGTCATCAACCTTTACGCACCTGCAAAAGTGATGTGAAGAGATTCGCAGTTTCGAGATATGGGTTTTGGTATGTTTTCAGGCTAGTGATAAAGTGCTGCATGAATAAGGTGAGTGATTGTGTGGTCTGGATGAGTTCTGGCATTTTCAAGTAAGGAATTCTATAGAAAACAGAGTGAAGGAAGGTACGACATTCTCCTAAATGTTATAAGTAATTCAAGACTCTGAAATGTAGCCATCAAGCTCATCTTGGTCCGGCTTCTCATTCGACGTCTTGGTGATTGTATATTTTTGGGATACAAACATGATATCCCGAGATTTTTTTTCCCATAATCCAGATTCCCAAGTCTGTCCCGCTTTTTCGGGAACACTGGGTTCCTCGGAAAAGTCTAGTAGCGACACTGGTAGACCAGTTTCCGAGGGCGTGAGTTTTTTTAGGTCCAGCTTGGAACCAAAGCTTAAAACTCTATTTTGATTGTAGTCCAAAATATGGTCGAGGCTGGATTCGAACCCGCAACCATGGACCCAACACGCATGGGCTGCCTCATCCGCTAGGCTACCTGACCAGTACTTTAGGTGTTCCCCTATGTCCCTACACCACGGGGCGACTTCTCAGCGACAGATGCATGCCAGGAGACCGTCAGTTGTCACATCGGTTTCACTGGTAATTCAGGTGAATTACACGTTGTGAGCGGCTGTCTGATGACCGCAGTAATTGGCCACATCGCCGGGCTGTCACATACCTGGCAGCGTGAGAACAACGCTACTACCAACCAGGCGCGCCTGCCGATACCTGCCCGTATGCTCGTCAGGTAGACTCCTGATGATTACGGCGTCACCACCGGTCAAAAAGAGACCACCTCGCAGCTTGGTCGCAGCCCACATGAAATCATAGCGTGATTACCTCGTGATTTGTGGTACTGAGTGAGCGGCGAGAAGCCAGCTTTTGTGGAAAGTAGACAGTTTCTGACCTTCCCCCTCAGGTCACAATTTATCAATTCCCCTTGAAAGAGATCTATGTCACTCCTGCATCAATCAGAAGTCTCATCGAACATTGATTCGGGCGCCCCTGGTAAAACTTGAAGTCAACCTTGAGTTCAGTGGGAGCATCCAAAAATTGAAAGTGTCGCGAGCCAAGTTTTTTCTCATTTAGTCCCCAGTTAATTAGGTTTCATCTTTCTTTTTTTTTAACAAGTTCTTCCACAACCAGCATATTCGGTCTCAACATATTAGATGCAAGATGCAGGCTTGAAGGCCATCAATATGAGCTTGATAGCCTTCATTGTGCACCTAACACTGGACACCCAACCCCTATGTATTTTTGGCTACCACTGGTTCAGTTCTCCATACATGCCTCAATACACAAAAGAAAAACAGCTTTTGGTTCTGTAACAACAAAAAAAGGTGTGAGTTAGTCAACTTTGAGGCAAGAGGGTGACTGATGGCCAACTAGGGTGGCATAAGAAGGTAAGTGTAAGTGACCATATGTTCATGGACCCTAATCAAGCCTAATGAAAAAGGTACCATATAAAACTAAAAAAAACAGCTCACCTGGTGGCTCACAGATTTTGGATCACTGTACTTCCACTTGTTGGATCTACCAAGTTTAGTCCTTGACATCTCTTACATAACTTTTAAATCCCAACTTGCTCAAGGTTTCCAAGTTGACTTTGTTGGGAAGGTAAGCTTATACTGACCAGGTCAATTTTTTTTTTTTATTATTATTATTCATGGTCCTGTCTTATTAAGCTCCCTTTCAACTTTGATTCTCATCCTCATCAAATTTCAAGTTGCACTCTTTTGTTTCATTTATTCAAATTTAAATAACTCAAACTGCAAACCAAACTTCATTCATCATTCACTTCTCTTGAATCTCAATCTTACTTATCACCCACCTTTGAGCTAATTTGCTTTTTGATAGTGTTTCATTCAGATGTAGCTACATGGTCAAGAAACTTTCAAGCTCTCCACAATATTGTACCCACCCACTTATTTCCCACTTTTGACTTTAAGCTTTCTGGACAGTAAGGCTGGTGTTGTTTATCCAATCGGTTTTATCAGTTTTTTCCAGTCTTCAACATCTAAAGTAGGAAACCTGTTATACTCTGACACCTTTGGGTTTTACAAACAAATTAGTGAAGTGGTAATACATACTATCTCTGTCCCAAGATGAGGAAAGAGATGTACACATTCTATTCTGATTGGCTTATATATAAATCTTACTACAATTGGTTGGGGTGGATATCTTCATGCCAATTGAAACCTTATGAGTAAAGTTGTTTTTTTTCTTTTCCTCCTTTTCATTTCTTTTCTCACTAACTTATTTCATCTTTTCTTTCTCTCCATCTTGCTAACTTCTTTTTATCTTTATTCCACTAATTAATTTGGTATGTCACTTACTAACTTGTGATTTATTTCATTTGTTGATTGGATACTGACAAAAGCTCTCTCTACTGTACTTTTTTGGGGAACAACACTAGCATCTCAAGATGTAGGATATATTGAAGGATGGGAGCAAGGATAACACAAGGATAACCACAATCAAGAAATATTGAAATGGATAGGAGTGCCAAGTGAGATTTTTTTTTTGTTGAATTTGTTCAATAGAAGGGAGAAAATCAAGAAACTGCTTGATAGGTATAGGCAACAAAAAAAAAACAACATATATTGTCAAATTGGTGCAAGTCGCCATTGGTTGGGCATGTCAAGGTTTGGCCAAGGGAAGTGAGATTGACAAGGAGGAAATGAACCTCCAAAGCAGATGAGCACACAGCATTGGTGATCATGGGTTTAAAATTTGTCCATGGGAAGACATTGATTTGCTCATTGATTGTAGATTGTAACTAGACTGTTTACAGAGACATGCACAGACATCTGGGATATATTGAAGTGGTGGGCTAATTGATGGCTTGTGAAGTATCTGCATCTGATTTGCAAGGCATCCAGCAATTCACGCTGCCCTGTTGCTGGGGGATATTAAGATTGTATGCCATCACTGCCAACATATTTTTATCGCATGGAAGCTTGCTATGTAACATAGCATGTCTTCATGTGATACTATGGACCATTTTTCAAGGTCCCTACCTTGGAAAATAGACCTATTGCATCGCATCTTGGCCTGCTATGTGAAACAGCATGCCTCCATGTGATGCAATTTTCTTGGTGGTGCATCTCTTTTCTACCACATGTGCTGATTGGTGGTTGGGCAGCCTGCACACCTTATCACGCATGCCATGACAGACTCAACACCATCCAGGTTGTAGAGGTAGCATTTGACCAGGCATGATCAGGCAAGGGTGTTGCAGAGGCAAAGTGCGCATTTGCCAATGCATGGAATGAAAACCCATTTAGGAATTCTTGATGGCAAGTGGCCCTTGCTGTTATTGGGGTTGAGGAATTATGTTATCTCGGAAGGCTTGTGGAGTGTTGAGATAGCAGTCTGGCAAATTTTCAAAAGTGAGGACCCAGAGTTGGGTCCAGTATTGAATGGGAAGTTCCTTTGGTAGAATGATGGCAAGGAAATTAATCATGGTGTTAATGCTGATGTCCTTGAATACACTACTGATTCGGAAAAGGTATTCTCCAGACAGGTACCCAAGTTGAGTCAAGAGGGGTAATGTGAGAGCTGAGGACAGATTTGGGAACTGTTGCTCCAGGCTGGCATTGAGGTCATCAATAAAAATCATATCTGGATGTGGTTTCAAAGCAATGGATGGAGAGGAAGTGGATCAAAAGGAGAGGAGAGCAAGTAATTGTATAACATTTTTTGTTCTTTGAAATTTTTATAGTGCATTACCTGTTTATAAACATATAGCACTTATAGAAAAAGCCTATAGAAAAAAAATACAAATATGAAAGCTTCCTCTTCTGACGAGTCACTTTCTATCGCTTGTATATTTGCCCTAGGTTTTTCTTGGAGGATATCAACATTTTAGTCACTGTCAGAAAAATCCTTTCCCCATGTGAATTTGTAACCTGTCCCAGTCATCTCCCAATCTAAGGAAAGAGAAAGGGTGGAAACAGAGGTTTGTTTCAAAAGCCATAGCAGTTTTCCCAGGGCAATCTAAGGTGGGAAGAGAGATCACCTTCTAGATGCTAGAGGCACAGAAACACGAGGAGGTAATTGTATAACATCTATCATATCATTCAGGGGTGGATTACCATACATACGGTAACACAGTTTACGGTATAGGAAGTGTTAAGACATAAGTAGGATACACAACTTCACCAAAGCCCAAGTGAGGGTTAGGTTAGGTTAAGACTACCGAAGGAGTACATCGTCCGTGACTGTCTAGCAAAGGACAGTCTGGTCATCTTTACTTTTTTGACCCGACTGACCCTGGCAGGTGTGGAGAGAAAGAAAGACTTGCCTGAGATTTACGATAACAGGCAGGGACGTGTCAGGGGTCGGTGCGCAAAGTCTAAATCTTTAAAAGGGTTTTTTTTTTTGTCCCAGGTGAGGCATTCTTACTGTACCACTTTCGGGTACTCTATACCAAGATTCCCCAAGAAAGCCAGAGTTTTGGGAATATTCCAATTCTCCTTTCTTTCTCTCTTTTCCTGTCAAGCCATAGTAGTCTCTGTACGACTCATCATCCTTGATCACTTCAGTTGTTGGCTCTGCGCTCTCAATCAGAACCTCTGAGACCTACGATTACACTTGTTCCCAGACGATCCATTTCTGGCACTCCTACTCAACTTCACTTGACAAGTTATCCTTCCCTATTATGAAACCACAAAGGTTGATGTTCAAGGACCTCGGAGTGAGTTGAGAGTTTTGTGAGGGGGACTTTGGTTCGGACTCATTGGAGTTTGATTCGGAAAAAAGGAGAGAAGGGGGGGGGGGGGTTAGGAGAAGCAGGAGCTCCCAGGAGTCTAATTAGGTACGATTGCAGAGCTTTGAGTGAAGGTCACTTGATTGTTCAAGATACTGTAAACTTGTCAAAGTCCCGCGCTGTCAACGAGCCCATCGAAGCCTCGCTGACGTCGACTGGCTCCTGACAGGGTGGGACTTTTTCAAGTTTAATGATTAAGAGCATCCGCAGCCGCGCGTAAAACAGCAAGTACGTAAGTTTCATGGACATAGCGTATGGGACCGGAACAGAGGTGGATTTTAACAGTGATGATGTGGAAGTCCTTTAGTTCCGGTAGTTGAGAGCCCTAGCTTACTGGTGGTGCCGCAGTCGTGACAGCTCTGTGACACCCTAATACACTACAGTGCGCACTAAAACTATTGGCACCAAAATTAGTGCTACACTGCCAAAGTGGTAAGCGGCGTATATTTCTGCGTACATTGTATGCGTTGAATAATAAGGATGGGTGACAAACAGCCAAAGACTGTGGTCATTTAAAATCTCCACAAATTTGGTGGCTGTCTGTCTTCCAGGGGGCGCGATGACCAGCAGAAGCATGCAAAGGGTAGTGAAGTTTCCTTATATCACGACTGAGATCCTCACGCTTTTGAAAGTCGAGACAGGACACTCTTTCTGGTCTATGCCAGGTCATCGTGTACCTTGATTTTATTTACAATCTCCAAAATTGACTTGTCCGTCCAAATCACTCACTT